TATTGTAGGGGCTCAAGTCCCAGTTGGTGCAGGTGTTGCTTTAGCTAACAAATATCTAGAGAATGGAGGCATCTGTGTTGCACTTTATGGTGATGGTGCTGCCAATCAAGTGAGTTTTAAAATTTTCACTACTGTACTGTATTGAAATACAAGTTTCTTGTGGTCTGCTCAGCTATTGAATACCCCATTTCCATGTTATGAACTGTTGTCTGAAGTGTTTAAATTTATAGATGATATTTTTGAGTACAAATAGTAAAATTATCCTTTATCAGAGGTTGGACTGGTGATAATGCAGTAAGATGTTCTTTTTGTGTTGAGGTCACAAGGTACTCGTTCTTGGGAGAGAGAATATTAGTGAAGATATCTTCGGCAGGTATGCATTGCCTAATAATGTATTTTTAGGTTGCACGCCCAGTAATAAGCCTATAAAATTATATGGGAGCTTTATGAAGCAAAATGTATCATAAAGTTACCATACAGGAAATTTTTGCTCAAGGAACATTCTAGGCAAAGATAGGTACACTATGGGAAAATAGCACAGTGGGTCCTGAGTATTGCCAGTGGGAGTGCTTGGCCCTTCCTGTTCCATGGAAATGTCATGTTTTTCTGCTGATTGAGAGTAAAGGACATTCATCTCACTCATTGATGCTTGCAGGTAACCGTTGCTTTCTCTGCAACTTGCAGCATTCATGACATATGTACAGTATTGATTTGGGCTGATAGTTTAATAGAGTGCTATTTTTAAGCTATTAGAATTTTATTAATTTCTTATTTTAGAGATTTTGTTTCAGGGAGTGCTCTATAATATAAAAAGCACTGAATGACATCAAGGGCCTAGCGCTCTGTAAATCCAAAAAAAACTTTCACCATCATCAGAAAATAAATATGTTAAGTTAATTAATGAAGCCTTGTTATCCTAGGATGGCAGGTTCTCTGCTCTCTAGTCATCCTTTGAATCATGTGGGTGTACTCAGGGTTGCTAGCCAGAATGTATATGCATAATTTAAGATCAGTTTTATACAGGTAAAATTCTAAGTAGCTGATTGAAGTATTTGTTATAATTTACAGGGTCAGCTTTATGAGGCTTACAACATGGCTAAGCTCATGAGTCTTCCAGCTGTTTTCATTTGTGAGAACAATGGTTATGGCATGGGTACCAGTGTGGACCGTGCCTCAGCTTCTACCAATTATTACACACGAGGAGATTATGTTCCAGGAATTTGGGCAAGTAATAGTTATCTACAGTAGATTATAATGTCCAGATACAGTATAGTCTCCATACATAAATAACTTTTAAAAAATCTTGGGAAAGCTTTGTATTTCTTACCAAATTGGAGCAGTTTAAGTACCTTAGGTGTACAGTATTAAGAAAGTAATGAAAATTCCAGTCTTTAGTTTTCAGCAGGCAATTTACAGGAAAACTATTGTTGTTACATCTTATATGAATTTTGCTTGGGAGACTTGTCTTCACAATCTTTGGATGAGGAATCCAGCATTTACATTTGTGTAATGGTAAGATATCTGCTGTTGTCCAAATTTCAGTGGTATGGCTCACTAAATTTTACTTTTTTTATTTCATAATTATTATTATTAATTAAAATGTATTCATGCAAAAAAGATTTTTATGAAAGTGTATGTAAGGGAAAAGGGAATTGTTAAGACAACTAATGTGTTTCTTTTAGATTGATGGATGGATGTACTGAATGTGCGAGAACCATCAGATATTGCATTGACTACTGTACATCAGGAAAAGCCATTTGTTTGGAGGTTGCAACTTATCGTCCCAATGGGCATTCAATGTCTGATCCGGGAACTTCCTATCGCACTCGTGATGAAATTCCAAGGGGTTCGCCAAAACGTGATCCTATCATGCTTTTCAAAGACCACATTTTTAGGAGCAGATCTTGTTACTGCTGATAAACCTAAAAGTAAGTACAGTATTATGCATCTTAGATTTGGTGTTGGAGTAAGTTATTTTTACTAATATACAGTAATAACCTATTTATTAAAAAAACTGGACAAATATCTTGTGTTAAAAGAGACTTGGCAAGAAAAGCTTTTGCCATGACAAAAAAATATTTTTATTTTACAATGCATTTTTCACTAAGGTTTAGTGATCCAAAATAGGAACACTTTGGGACATCCCCCTCATAGACATTACAATTCAAATGACTCGAACCACTTCCATGTCTGTCCTTGAGAGTGCAAGCACTGTATTTCTCTCTTAAAGAATCTGTATGATTTCATAGATGTTTCCCTGCTTGCACCCCAACAGCACTTCAAATTCCAAAAAACATCTCCCACACACATTGTTCTAATAAAGTGGGTCTCACACACCTGCTGGATGAGGATTTTTTTTATCACATTCATCAAAGCTTTGTGTTGTAAATTTTGGCACTGTTTCATTTAACATTGTATGCTTATTTTTAGAAAAAGAAATTTTTATTGTAGATTAATACAAATATTTATATTTATTACTAATTTATCATTTCACTGAAGTGCTAAAAACCCCTGGAGTCACAGTATCTTCTTGAATGGGGGGCAGATTTTATCCAAGGAATGGAAGGATAGCTCAAATCTTTGGGTCAAGAGCCCTTCACTGACATTGAGGAATCTTCCTGAAGGGTAAATTTGGCTGAAATCTTTAGAAATGTATTTAGCATTTTTTTACATCTAATGAATTAGCTAAGCTCATTGTAAGAAACTTTTTTTTTTTCTCCCCCCCCCTAGAAAATTGACAATGAAGTACGCAAAGAATTGATGAAGCTGTGAAATTGCCAAGACTGATAAGGAAATTGCATGTTCAGAATTAGCACTGATGTTTATTTGAATCCTGTCGAGACTACTATTCGGGGCACAACCCTTTTGATCCTTACACACATCAGCGTCTAAGTAAATTTTGCCAATTTACACTAAATTAATTTTAGCAATGCCCCATTGCAATTTTCAACATCTTTGTTTTTATACAAAATGCTGAAGTTAACTTGTAGCCAATATTTAAATTTTTAAAAACTATCAAAATATTATTTTGCAGCCTAGCATGTGTATTTTATTTTGGGGTATTGACATTTAAATGAGATTGTTGTAAATATGTTGCCAAGAAGTTTAGGCTTATTGCTTTGAACTCCATATACCATTTATTATTCAGTCACTCATGTTTTAACATTTAGAATTCTGTTAACATTTGAAGTTACTAAACTTTGAGAGTTGGTAATAAGCCAAGGAAAAAATAAACTTCTTGGAAGATATTTTGGTGGTAGTTCTCAGGATTACCAAAAATTATGTGAACCTTGATGCACAAATGTAGATATACACTGCTGTATATATTAATAAAATAGTTAACCATTATTTATTATTTACTTGGAGAGGTGCTAAACCCATAGGGGTCCAACAGTGCATGGAGGCAACCAAGTTCAATCCCAAGATGAGGATGAATTCAAAAGTAACCCCCAGTTCAGAAACCATTACTTTCCATGTATCCTGGACCACTGTCCCGTTCCAAAAAAGAGAAGGGGATAGAAGAGTGTGGTAGTAATAAGGTAGTTGTAGTAATGGTGGAAGTGTAAACACAATAACAAAGGAGCATGTAACCTATTGATCTATGCTGGGAGGACTAGAGACAGTAACTAGTAAATTTATCTCAAGGTAGTAGAAATCAAAGTAACTAGACACTAAAAACCTATTCCCAAGGGGCCGAAAAGCATTACATAGTCAAAAGGGGCTCCCAATACGAAAGGGGAAAAAAGGGAGGGGGGGGGGTCAGGACACAGGAAATGCAAAAAGAGGTAATGATAAAGTAATGAATGTTATGAAAACTAGAGCATTGACTATTAGAAAGAAGGCATCTACAGAAAAAAAACCAGGACTAAAGTTCATGTTATGAATGTAAACAAGGCTGATTTGATAAACAGCAGCTTAAAAGGTAGATAGTTTTAGCAAGACCAATTAACAGAAAAGGCAGTTAGTATCAGCAAGGCAAGCATATCTTGTACATTTAAGTTTGTCAAGAGTGGCCAGTTTACAAAAGTATTAAAGAGAAACTAGAGAAAGCACTGAAGCACCAGTGATAAAAGTATGAAATAGACTGATAAGTAAGGTACTGTGTTTCAAACAATGCTACATATTTTGTGAAGATTTTGAAGAGTGGGGGTTACTGAAACCATTACCCAGAGCGCCGAGGAGGGTTATTCGAGTGATTTGGACATTTAGAGGATGGAGCAAAAACAGGATGAATTGGGTATATAAATCTGTATGGAAGGCTGGGTAGGAGTCATCCTAGGAAATGTTGGGGGTTGAAGGTAAAGGAAGTTTTTTTATGCAAGGGGGTTGGACGTTCGACAGGAGTGGAGAAAAGTGATTTTTACGAGTTGTGTTTTGTGTGTGAGCAAGGTAACATTTTGTGAAGAGATTCAGGGAAACCAGGGGAAAAAAAGTGCTTGCACTCTAAAGGAGGGGTAGGGATATGGCATTGGGAGGAGCGTCCATGCTGTAATGTCAGCGTACCTCTGGCTAGATGGCCATTAAAAAAAAAAAAAACTTTGAAAAGCAAGAAAAGTTTGTCAGGGTTAAATATTTACTCCATAAGTGGAATAGGGAGCAATCCATGGAAATATTAATGCCCAAACATACTCCCAAAAACAAACAAAAATAGAAACTGCTCAGAAAATAATGTGGGGATTTATATAAAACAACCGGTTACAAAGACATTATGTATATGATTCTAAATACAAACTGCAATTGAAATTGTTTTTTTGTAACCCCTAACATTTACACAGTTATGCAAAAACCTTATGTAAAAGATAATACATGTAACTAAATTGTGAAAAATTTCATAATAAATACACTGTTTTGTAAAATTTCATACAGAGTCGGTATGTAATTTGCTCAAATACACATTGCTGACCATATCTCAGCACACTCAGATGCTAAGTTTGGGGGTTTCCATTGGAAGTGTTCCTGGATTCACTGTTATGGAACATCTCAATGAGAAACCAAAGATTTACAACACACTCCTACAACTGATAAACTTATGTGCAATTTATCTTTAATTAGCATATTTATACTTTTCCTTCATTTGGCCTTCTTCTTCGTCATCATCTTCAGCTCCTCTGATGTAAAGGACTTTGTTACAGCGGCCCAGCACCTCTCCTAAACTGCCAGGGGACTGACCATCAATGTATTCTTCTGTGTTGGCAAGCTGTAAAATGAGAAGAATTTTAGAGGCCAATTTTGATCATATTGATTTACAGTAATAAAACTCACAATCTGGAATACTGATGGGGGCCCAAAAAACAAACTGCTTTCATTTTGTCTGTCATATAAAGAATTTACACAGTACTGCACACTAAAATCATTATGCTTAAGATTAAAACATATTTTACATTACTGAATCTGCCATAACAGTAGGGCCCCGCTTTACGGTGTTTTGCTTTATGGCGTTCCGCTAATACGGTCATTCAAATTATAACCTAAACTCTCTATATGGCTCCCCCCCCCCACCTGACTAATTGGTCACCACACCCCACCCCTTGTTTCTTACATTCTCCATGAGCTCTGTAAGCACCACGTCCCCTCCATTGTGTCTGGAAACTCCAAATTTTCAAGTGTTTTTAAAAGTTATTTTAATACAGTATACTCCCGATAATTATACTTACGTATACCTGTACCTAAATACTTACTTGCTGGCGGCAGGTACACATTAAAATCAGTGTGTATCATGTCTCAGATGCCATATTAGTAATGATAATACCCAATAATAATCATCGAGTCTCATTAAATTTCGTATATTACATTAATACACACATTTTCATTAATCCATGTATGATAGTTTTCAAAACTATACAATAAACATGATACATAACATATAAAAAATGATAAATACACTCCACAGTAGAATAAACAAACAAATATGAGAAGTGGGAGCCAGACAACTTGTACAAGTGACGGCAAGAAAAACGTTTTCTCTAGCCCAACGTAAGAGAAAATTGTTTACTGGGTTAACTGTAGAAAATTATTCCTTTCGTATGCCATCACTCAAAAGCGTCATTTCTTCTAAAAAATGGTGTTACATGAGAATGGGAGTGTTCCTCTTTTTTTATTCTACCATATCAACATAGAAGACAACTTGTACATAAATCAGACGTGTACACTTTGTTTGTTTACATAACTCCACGAGTGTCCTCTCCATGTACTCATTCTCTCTCATTTATTTGTTTTATCTTGTTTACTCACCTCTGACCCTACTTAAGAATACAAATATTTTAAGGGGAAGTGGAAAAAGAATCCCTTTTCCCCCGTAAGCCATGCGTGTTGTTTAAAAGTCAACTAAAATCCCGGGAACAAGGGCTAGTAACCCCTTTTCCTGTAAAAATAAACTAAAAAGAATAAGAAGAAGAAAATTGTCAAAGTTGGGAAGTCTGAATGTGCGTGGATATTGTGCAAATGATAAGAAAGAGATGATTGTGGATGTTATAAATGAGAAGCTGGATGTCCTGGCTTTAAATTTGAAACAAAGCTGAAGGGGGGGGTGAGTTTCAGTGGAGAGGAATAAAGGGGATTAGGTCAGGGGTTTTCTAGTAGAGTTAGAGCTAAAGGAGTAGTAGCAATAATGTTAAAGGATAAGCTATGGCGGGAAAAGAGGGACTATAAATGTATTAATTCAAGGATTATGTGGAGTAAAATAAAGGTTGGATGTGAAAAGGGGTTTATAGTAAGCATATATGCACCTGGGAAGAGAGAAGTATAGAGGAGAGAGAGAGAAAATTTTGGGAAATGTTGAGTGAATGCGTGGGAGTTTTGAACCAAGTGTGAGAGTACTTGTGGTTGGGGATTTTAATGCTAAAGTGGGTAAAAATGTTGTGGAGGGAATAGAAAGGTAAATTTGGGGTGCCAGGGTAAATGAAAATGGGGAGCCTTTAATTGAGCTATGTGTAGAAAGAAATTTGGTAATAAGTAATACATATTTATAAAAAAGAGGATAAATAAATATACAAGGTATGTGTAGCATGTAATGAAAAGTTTGTTAGATTATGTACTGGTGGATAAAAGGTTGATGGGTAGGCTCCAGGATGTACACGTTTATAGAGGGGCAACTGACATATCGATCATTATCTAGTTGTAGCTACAGTTAGAGTAAGAGGTAGATGGATACGAGGAAAATGGCAACAACAAGTAAGAGGGAATGAAAGTGTATAAACTAAGGGAGGAGGAATTTTCGGGTGAAATATAAGTAACAAATTCGCAGAAAGGTGGGCTGGTGCAGGGATGAGGAGTGGGGGGGGGGGGGGGTTGAAGAAGGTTGGAATGGTTTTTAAAATGCAGTGTTATTATGTGGGGCAGAAGTTTGTGGTTATAGGAGGTGGATGCAGGAGGAAAGAGGAGTGATGGTGGAATGATGAAGTAAAGGGTGTGATAAAAGAGAAAAAGGGAGCTTATGAGAGGTATTTACAAAACAGAAGTGTTTTTAAGAAGAATAGGTATGTATATGGAGAGTAAAAGAAAAGGGGAAGGAGTGGTGAGAGAGTGCAAAAGGTACTGTCAAGAAATTTTAATGAAAACAAAAAATTTTTTGGAGTTAAACAAGTTAAGAAAGCCTAGGGAACAAATGGATTTGTCAGTTAAAAACAGAGTAGGGGTTAGTGATGGGGAGATGGAGGTTTGGGGTAGATGGCGAGAATATTTTGAGGAACTTTAATTCGATGAAGAAGGGGGAAGTGGTATTTTCATGTATGGCCGGGAGGTATCCACTCTAGGAGTGAAGAAGAGCGGAGTGAGTGGGGGGGGGGGGGGGAGAGTGCGTGAGGCATTACGTAGAATGAAAGGGAGTAAAGCAGCTGGAACTGACGGGATCTTGACAGAAATGTTAAAAGCAAGGGGGGGCATAGTGTTGGAGTGGTTGGTATTTTTGTTTAATAAATGTATGAAAGAAGAGAAGGTACCTAGAGATTGGCGGAGAGCGTGTATAGTCCCTTTATATAAAGGGAAGGAGGACAAAAGAGACTGCAAAAATTATAGAGGAATAAGTTTACTGAGCATACCAGGAAAAGTGTACGGTAGGGTTATTATTGAAAGAATTAGAGGCAAGACATAATGTAGAATTGCGGATGAGCAAGGAGGCTTCAGAGTGGGTAGGGGATGTGTAGATCAAGTGTTTACTTTGAAGCATATAGGGTGAGAAATTTTAGATAAAGGTAGGGAAGTTTTTATTGCATTTTAGGGATTTAGAAAAGGCATAGATAGAGTGGATAGGGAACCCAATGTGGCAATGTTGAAAGTATATGGAATAGGTGGTAAGTTACTAAATGCTGTAAAGAGTTTTTATGAGGATAGTGAGGCTCAAGTTAGGGTGTGTAGAAGAGAGGGAGACTATTCCGGTGAAAGTAGTCTTAGACAGGGATGTGTAATGTCACCATGGTTGGTTTAAATATTTATAGATGGGGGTTTTTAAGAGAAGTAAATGCTAGGGTGTTTGGGAGAGGGGTGGGATTAAATTATGGGGAATTAAATACAAAATGGGAAGTGACAGTTACTTTTTGTTGATGATAAATGTGCTATGGGAGATTCTAAAGAAAAATTGCAAAGGTTAGTGGACGAATTTGGGAGTGTGTGTAAAGGTAGAAAATTGAAAGTGAACATAGAAAAGAGTAAGGTGATGAGAGTATCAAATGATTTAGATAAAGAAAAATTGGATATCAAATTGGGGAGGAAGAGTATGGAAGAAGTGAATGTTTTCATATATTTGGGAGTTGACGTGTCAGCGGATGGATTTATGAAGGATGAGGTTAATCATAGAATTGATGAAGGAAAAAAGGTGAGTGGTGCATTGAGGTATATGTAGAGGCAAAAAATGTTATCTATTGGGGCAAAGAAGGGAATGTATGAAAGTACTGTATAGTAGTACCAACACTCTTATATGGGTGTGAGACTTGGGTTGTAAATGCTGCAGCGAGGAGGCGGTTGGAGGCAGTAATGTCCTGTCTAAGGGTAATGTGTGGTGTAAATATTATGCAGAAAATTTGAAGTGTGGAAATTAGGAAAAGGTGTGGAGTTAATAAAAGTATTAATCAGAGGACTGAAGAGGGTTTGTTGAGGTGGTTTGGTCATTTAGAGAGAATGGATCAAAGTAGAATGACATGGAGAGCATATAAATCTGTAGGGGAAGGAAGGCGGGGTAGGGGTCGTCCTCGAAAAGGTTGGAGGGAGGGGGTAAAGGTATTGTGGGCGAGGGGTTCGGACTTCCAGTAAGCTTGCATGAGCGTGTTAGATAGGAGTGAATGGAGACAAATGGTATTTGGGACCTGACAAGCTGTTGGAGTGTGAGCAGGGTAATATTTAGTGAAGGGATTCAGGGAAACCGGTTATTTTATATAACCGGACTTGAGCCCTGGAAATGGGAAGTACAATGCCAACGCTTTAAAGGAGGGGTTTGGGATATTGGCAGTTTGGAGGGACATTGTATTTTTTATACGTATATACTTTTAGACTTGTATTCTGGGCACCTCTGCAAAAACAGTGATTATGTGTGAGTGAGGTGAAAGTGTTGAATGATGTTGAAAGTATTTTCTTTTTGGGTCACCCTGCCTCGGTGGGAGACGGCCGACTTGTTGGAAGAAAAAAAAAAAAAAAAAAAAAAAAAAAAAAAAAAAGTAATGAGTGAACTGTATATGCATTTTATCGCTCTGGGATGCTTGAATGTTATAAAATATTGTGTGGATGGGGTGGACTGGTATGGTAGCCCGGCTGGCTACCATACATACCACACTTGATTTCTTACAATAAATACTACTTGTCTCACCCTAGATTAAGACTACAAATATTTTAAGGTAAGTAATGAGTGTACTATATGTGTACTTTACTATTTTATTGTTTATTAATGCCTAGTTCTACTGCTAACCCCAATGGAAATAAGTCACACTGTCTGACTTTTTTGGGTTATCCTAGGTACTTTACACATATGCTGCTATGTATGATAATCTCTGTAACTGCATTTGCGTATATCTGAATAAACTTACTTGCTTACTAACTTAATGTATATTAGTGTAAACTTGTTATCTAGTATTTGTATGCATTTATAAGTGGAAAAAAGAGGTATCCCACTTCACGGCGGTAGCCTGGAACCTAACCTGCCGTATAAGTGGGGCCCTACTGTATACAGGAGGGCCCCACTTATACGGCAGGTTAGGTTCCAGGCTACCGCCG